AGAATGCTAACGCGTCGAAGCAGAAGTTGGATCATAAAGCCTGCATAAGCAAAGAGTTCTTACAAAATTTTTCAGATTGGCTCAAACGATTTTGACAACAATGTGAAAGACTTTGATTGATGGTTTTGCGTGGAATCATGGAGAAGGTGGAATTGATATAATAGCTCGAAAACGATGGGAATGATCTTAGAAACACATAAACTTGTTTTTCTTGGCCATAAGCTGCTCCATCTGACTTTCTAATGCCAACCGGGAGTTTTCGGCTCTCTCCTTCGCTCTTCTCTCTTCCTCCAACACGCTCTCCATAATCTTCTTTTCCTCTTGAACAGTTGATTTCGCCTGTTCAACTTGTTGCTGTGCCTCTTCCAATTGTGACTTCAAATTCTTAATCTGTTTGAGGAATTCACTCTTTTCGCGTTGCAACACGGACAACTCTTTTTTAGCCACACGAAGATTGGTTTCATTCTCATTGAGTGTGGTCTCCAATGTTTCGACAAGTTGTCGATTTTGTAAACTTTCGCTCTCCATCTTCTCGATCTTCCTGTGCAACTTTTGAATCTCCGATGCAAACTCGGAGTTCGCGTTAGAATCAGATCTATTCCTCGTGGGATTCGTGTCAAGTCTTGGTGGCATGGGGGAACGAGGTGTTGTAGGAGGATTAAGCGGAAGCCCGGGTGTGGGTGGTGGAGTGCCTGGGGGCGGTGGTGGCGGGTGACTTGGAGGAGGTGTTGGAGGAGGTGCATTCGCGAGGCTCCCTGTAATTGATCGGACGCCGCCTTTCTTGGCATCTGACGAACTGGATGAAGTCGAGGACATAGAGTTCCGAGCGCCGGAGTCGATCTCATTTCCATCGTTCGATCGTTTTTCAAGTTCCATTATCTTATCTTGGAGAGACTTGATCAGATTGTTTTGCTGAGTAATGGTATTTTCTTGACGGATAATGAGCTTGGATTGTTCTCGAGAGTTCGCACTGCCCGTACTACCTCGTGAACTTGAAACAGAGCCGCCCATGGGTTTGACGGGATCGGAGGCCGTACCCCTGATTCCCTGCTCGAGCTGAGCATTAAGCTC